TATGCAGTAGGAAAAAGGTATATAGTACAGCTGCCTTCAGCAAGGTGTGAACGAACGTAGATCACTATACATCGGGAATTAATTTTCAAGAGCCGTTCTAATCAGATCTTTAGATTTTTCGATTTCCCCGCATGGATATATGGAAGTCGTTTTTCACACTTTTTGAAACAGCCGGAGAAGTCGATTGAAGTGATCATTTTAATTTATTAACCCTTAATAAAACTTTGTACTCATGTTGTACTGACATTTATCTTAAATTTTTTTTAAAAAAGTGTTGGTATAAAAGATTTCGCCTTGGTATCGAATTATGGTAGCATTTAAATTTTGATCAAATTTCAGAATTTTTTTAAAAAAAGTTTGAGCCAAAAGATATAGAAATAATTGTGACAGAAGTAGGGAAGGTGTAAATGCAAAAAAAAAACCATCAGTATGAAATAACGATTCTCATAAAAGATCTAGTAGAAAATTTATTGTGACAATCATCTCATTGACGGTTTAAAGATAGCCGGTTACCGAAAAAGAATTCTATCAGCATTCACTTCAACTCTTAAAAGGGCGTTAAATTATTGATCGGGGATTAATTTCATATCATTAATATTTAATGAAGAATTTGATAGTGAGCCGATCTGATTATCGGTAAAATGATCGCTCATATGTAATTAGCTTAGTGAAGAGTGATAGCATAACAAATTTAATATTAGAACTTTTTATAGATCAAGCATTACATTATCCCTTACATAATAATTTATGAGTAAATTTACCCGAAAATGGTCGTGATTATCTGTGATAGACTATATTTAAATTTGTAGATATATCACAGTTCATTTCAAGTTATGATAATGATACGGGGTAAAGGATAGTAATGATTTCATGCTAAACTGGTCTAGATCAAGCGAGATGTAGATTATTTCATTGTAAAGCTATATATAAAAACCAACTAGACTAAAAATCTTTTAATATAACTAATATTGAACAACTGTTTTTTCATAGCCACTGTTACCATTACGATCATACGATCATTACGAACTTTAATTTTTTTTATCTTCTAAATAAAGGTCATTTAAAAGAAGATCCAATTATCTTTGGGGCTTCCTTCTATTCCATAGACTAAAGCCTAGCAAATAATAGTATTTTTTTTTTTTATGGTAATATAAATATAAGTACGCATTTTACATTTTTAATCTAGCACTTCTCACGTGACTATAGAGTAATTTTGATCAGCGATGAATTACTATTTACATGAGACCGAAGCTTAATCAAATTTGAATGGTGAAGTTTTGGGGTTTCCTTTCTCTGAATTCAATAAGATTTTTCTTTGCATACTATGAGTTCTTATAAAAGATAAAATCAAGCTATACTAGTTTCGTGATAACTTCGGGCGCATAATTAAAAATGGTGATATTGGAATTCCTTAATGACTTTTTTTGACATAATTTAATTCCCTTTATATTACATGCAGTACATAACAGACTCAATGATAGTACCATATGATCTATTCATTTATAGTCATGTAAATATACCGAAATACGCGTACATCTTTGGAATTTGTATGTATCCTAGCCTAAATTAGCACATTCTGATTTTTATATGACGTGTAGTTTATGTCATACTCTAAAATCATGATTTTCTTCTAACATTGAATGTACATAATGTATACATATTTGCCTTTTAAATAGAAGTACGGCTATGACAAGGATCTAATTTTGACTTTACTTTTTATCCGCGGATTTTAAAGCCCAATAGATTATCGATCCTGACTTATATGCCTTACTTTTTTAGGCTAGATCAGTTCTCCACATGATTTTCTGTTGGAAACCCGGTTTGTCAAGAACAGCCCGGATTTTGTGTACTTTTCTGTTTGAGCCGTATAATCTATTTATTATATATAGCAACGATCGTATCATGCATGCAGAAAAACTTGATGCATTAATGTATATCTTTTTCTTATTCAGATTATCTTAATATTATTCTAATCGTTACATATGCTGCACGTCGATTATCTAATCTAAAAAATAATTTATTGACGTATACCGGTACTGATTCACCTTAAACACTTTAATAGCAAAATTTTTATTATATATTTATTTAATGCCTGCTCTTAAAAGGTTACACGAACATGCGATTTTGATTACTAATTTTTGAACAACTCATGCGTTGTATAAATACGTAATATAATGAATGATTTGGTATAATTTAGTTTTAACTGTAAATGACAAGCTGCTCAGATGTGGTTATATTGTTTACAATTTTAAATTTTTTTTTTTGGCTTCCTTTTTTTTTTTATTTTTTATTTTTTTTTACATTATAGAAACCATGCAGGGACAAAAGGATCCGACCATGAATGAAGATAGATTCACCAGGAATTACGTTCCACTTTATAAAATCCGTTGTGACATAATATAACTCAAAAAAATCTCAAAATTTAACAATATTCATGTAATTGGCTAAATACGTATGTATCTACATAATTTTTGATATTGTGATATTATAAACATGGTTAAATGCACAATAATCCTTTCAGTGTGTAATCGTTTACCCTTGTTGCATATTCAGGGGAAGCGTTTATGTTAAGAAGGCACAGGAGAAAAACAAACAAGCCTGATTCGAAATTTGTGCGTAATTTCCTTTTTATACATACACATACATGCTTGACGACTATTTTCGGTAATTTTACTAGGTGGAAGGGACCAATGAGGCTAAAATGCCGAAAGGACGAGACTTCTTTTTGATTATCACGCGAAGTATGATACAAATTTGATTCTTCGACTACTAAATTGATGAAAGCATTCAACGTGTAAATGCCGTGATAAAGTATTGAGCCGTGATGACACTCAAAAATTACTATTTTTAGATAAATAACATTTATTTGCCCGAAAATAAAATGCTACTTTATCACATTACTTTCTTGTCTAGAACGGTATCATAATATTGTCACGTATTGAGCATATAAACTTTAATCTACAAAGTTTGTTATATTAATATAAATTACATATAATATCGATATGAATAGTTCTAGGCATATTAAATCGAGTTTGCTAAGCCATCTTTGGTGAAAAAAGCCCGTCATCTGTGGATCAAATAAAATTTCGACACTCGATGCTATATATGAAAATCTCATTCAAACCATAATGGATTGGGTGGATTTTTTTTACCCGAGTCCGTTTACTTTTGTGATCCGTTCCTTATAGATATTCCAAGTCATTTTGATCGGCCTTTTGGCTATCCAACAGACGGTCCGGGAGGTGTTCATACACTTGTCTAGCTTATAGATCTACCTTAAATATATACAATTTTTAATTCTGAACAACTTTAATTAACGGTTTAAAGTAGCTAGCATAATAAAATTTTGTGTTATTTAAGTCAAAATTTGTTCAGTGACGACATTCTTTTGAAGATTCTACGGTGTGCATGTCAACTGATATTTTCCAAAAAAGATGAAATTAAATTCTTATTGAACACGTTTTTAAAACCAGCTCATATGTGCCCTACTGTTATCTTTCTTGATTGCGTCTCGCTACACATGAGTGCTTAAAATATTTCAATAGCATTTATGCAAACATATTAAGAGTTATATATGCTATATTCTATTTTTCTTAAGTGATAATATATATAAAATAGGTAACACGGCTTCTAAATTCCCCGAATTTAATATCAAAATACATACTTGTTTACTTCCTTGTTTATCCTACACTGCATTTAGATGAACATTATGCTTTCGCCAGAGGCGTAAATAAATTCACAGGTAAGTTTATCTAATATGAAAATTTTTGAGCAATGATTCAAGTCCCGAGTCTTACTTGTAAGGTACTAGCATCAAGCTTCTATACAGTATATTACATATATGCACATAATTTATCCCCTGACTATGATTGCTATATTTGTTTGTTTTTTGTAAGAACTACTTTAGAGTATTCTACGCCCTGCACCAAACTAAATTGATAAAACAGCTAATTAAAAAGTGATCGCATTGACGCATATACAAGTAACGGGGTAACGAAAAAATTTTATCAATTCTGGATCAATCTTTTTTTTTCAAGATAAAAACCCCACAACTTGCCCATTCTCAAATTATTCCAGACCTTTTTACTTTAATCGATACAAAACCTTTACGGTAATGGTTTCCAAAAAGAATCTTCAAACCTGAAATTCCGTAAAATGCGTAAAACTCTCTCTAATTCTATGGAGCTTCTCCCCCTCCGTTTCACAATCATTGATAATATATAGCATATATATCGATATGTATATGCTAGTCTCAAACCTAATTCTAAAAATCGATATTTTCCCGTTGACAACTAGAGCAAATGCTCGTGAAAGACATGTGCGACCATTAAATTTATTTATTAATATACTTCTGGCAAGTAATTAGTAAATAATTTCGTCGCTCTTCTTTGATATTGGATCGGTGATGGTCACAATATCTGTAAATTTTTGATCGGGTAAACCGTTGAGGTGTAATGTTCTGTATATATCACCTTATTATGTATATATTCTATGAACTTTTTATATGTGTACATATGTATTATTGAACACTGTAAATAATGCACTTTGTTAGTTTGCATATTTTCGGTTATTTCCATTTTAACTATAAATTCTTTTTTTGATTCCTTTATCGACATGGCCTATCTATATATAGTTTATTCACGGCATAGTACATATTCGTAAACATATGTTCTATAGTAAAAACAAAAAGCCTTCGTTAAATTTTTTTTAATCTATTAAACTTTAGACTCGTATTCGATTTTCTTTTCGTAACGATTTTATTTTGTTATTTTTTTTTTTTTAGAAAAAATAATAGGATTTCAATTCAATTTCGTTTATTTGCCACCGTTTATACAATCTTTTTTTTTTGGATTTTGAATGTATGCACATGCTAACATTAAGCAAAAATTATAACTATAATAAATAAATAAATAATCATGTGGGAAATTTTTATGTCCTAAATGCAAGTTAACTAATTAAATAATCGATGACGACAGTTTTGATTTCCATGTCTAGAATTCATGAGCGATAGTATCATCACGTCAAACACTCCACGAATTCTAATATTAATAATAAAACATAGACGTTCCCGAAAATTATTTAACTTTAAATTACATAATGTTAGACTTTCACTAGCAACATATAATCTATATCGTTACATTTTTAAGTTATACACCGATTTGGGAATTTAAACCGATGGCACGATGTGACTTTAGACCCATTAAAAGCCTATGAAATATCTCAGGAAATGGGTCCTTAGATTTACTCTTTAGATGAATTAATGAACGGATATAAAACTAATTAGAAACAAAGGAGTGATATAGTAACGTTCAGTTCTATCAAAATTTGTTAAAAAAATTGGAATTATTTAAAGTGTGATATAGGTAACGAACGCTTTTAAAAAATTTTCTGGTCTAAATTTTATTTCCCGAAGAATCATATTTGCATTGAATTAGCTATCCATTAAATAAAAGATTCTATCTGTACCCATATAAATGATATTGGTAAGGTAAACTCCACTGTCTCTATAACTATACAATAGTTTTTTGAGTTGGTCAAAAATTTTCAGATCAATTAGTTGTCAACTTAGTACATCAAATAGTCACGTATTTTAAATAACTTTGATTGGTCAAATTGATAGTCACATGTATTGTACTACATTTGATTAATTTGATTGGCTAAAAAACAAAATTTAACAATCAAGCCTAGCCTTAGCCTAGCCTTAGCCTAGCCTAGTAACAGAGGGAACGTACCCGATCCAAAGTGAATCCCACGGTATGATCAATTAAAACTAAAAGAAATAATTTTAATTTTAATTGATCACACTGTGTGTGGGATTCACTATGGATCGGGTACGTTCCCTACTGTTTAGCCTAGTTGGTTTTTTAACACAAAACACATTGGCATTGTCATGACCTGAAAGGCTATCAGTCTTTAACACCTATAATAAAGCTGGCTAACACTTAAATTTCGTAAACGCGCTATAACAGGGTACTTATATCTCATGATCATATGATGTTTAGAAATTAATCTTGAAATTTATTAAAACGATGATCTATGAGCTAATTTAACCAGTTATAAATAATCGGTTCTAATATTTTGATCACATCAAAATTGGCCATGATTTATGCATTCGGTAAGTTTTTACCTTATGGAATTCAACTTCCGATAGTGCTATTCATTCCTAACAGCTAACACTAAATAACGCCATCGGAAATTGAATTCCATAAGGTGAAAACTTACCGAATGCATAAGATTGGAATTATTATGAATTGCAGGTTTTCTCTTGGCATCGATCATATAAGAAAAAACCGTATATCTCGTGATCTAGTATGTAGTCAGGATAGTGTGCTACCTGATTATTTTCAGCATTTTGTGTAAATAATTCGATATATTCTAATTCAAAATCAAATGTTACTTTAAAGAATAAAAATAAAACTATGATATTTAGATTTTAGACGAAGAGTCATATAGTGATCGAAGCCGATTTTTATGTCGATTTCTCTTGATTTTAAGGTCGTTTAGCTATGGTCTATAGACATAAATATATTTAATTTGCTACAATTCAAAAAATTAGAGTTTAAATAATTTTTGAAAAGGCTTTATTTTAACAAAATCAAAAGCTATTTCTTAGAAAAAACTAATTTTAATTATTTAACATTGAGAATTTCTATTTACACATTAATGAGATTTTATTAATAAAAACTACTTTTGAGATTAAAAAAAAAATTTTATATAAAATATATTTTTATACTTTAAATTTAATTTAACTTTAATTAGATTAATGTTTTTATAAACAAAGTTTATCTATTAAAGATTTTAGATTTTATTAGTTTAAATTACTAAAACTTTTAAAGGCTTTATATATTTAATCTATTAACAAATATTTATATATTAGTTGTATATACGTATTATCTTAGTTATATCTTATTAAAATTTTATTCAAAAAGATATTATTATTTGTTATATTTAAAGCCTACTGGTAGATTTTGATTTTTCTCTTTGGTATTCTGTTTTTTTAAAAAAAAAACTTTGATAATACTGTCAGTTGGGTTATTAGGTTCTAAATTTATTATAATATAATTTATGATTATATTTACAAAATTAATTATTATTAGTACTATTAGCTATTCTAATTTTAACTTCACTAACTTTACCCAATTACCTATATGACATTTAAGTCTGTGTTTGCTGCATAATTGCATGCAATTATTATAACAATTACTTGCAATTAGGATATATAATTAAACTATTATATAAACAAAAATATTTTCAAATTTGATATAATATTCTAATATCAGAAATACTATCTTCTATAATCATATCTATATGTTTTATTTATATGTTTTATCTGGTTTTGTTTTGTCTAATTTTTTAATTTAACTATATCTAATAATATCTTATTTTTTATATATTTTATCTTTTTGTTATTATATTATTTCTAAATTAGTTCTATTTAGATATGTTTAATTCTTATAATTTTTTAGTTTTGATATGTTTATTATTGTTTTTATTAAGTTTTTTTAACAATGCTTTAAGATTTATAATAAACTGTATTTTAAACTAGACCTGATGTTGCTATTAGTCTTTTTGACTAATTTATATATTAAGTTAGATCTGTTATTAATATTTTTAAAAATGTTTTAAGTCTTAATATTATATAGTAATACAGTATTATATTTATTATTAACAAAATACTCTCTTCTATAATAGAAATTTGAATTTATTATATTTATAAACTGAACAATTTTTGTTATATTTAGAAAGTTTTTTCAATTTTAGTAATATCATATTATTATATATATATTGCAAGTTTCTAACTTATTTAATAATATTTAAAGAATAATTTTGGTTATATTTAGAGAGTTCAGTAATATTATACTATTTTGTAAATTTTATTTAATATTGGTTAGTTGATCTTAGTCCTATTTGTCATAAATTTCTATATAAATATAATTAAAATTTGATTTAGTGTTTTTTTTATACAAAAAAATATATGCTAAACTTTAAAATTTTTCTTTTCTATAATTAGATTATTTGATTATATCAGAGGTGTTTCTAATTATAATTAGATTAATTTTCATTATAAACATAAGTTGAATTAAGAAATATTAGTGCTATATTAGTATTTTTTTAGTTCTAATATTAGTCTAATTTTAGTTAAAATTTGACAGAAATCAAATACTTATAGAATAAAAATTAGTATTATATCAGTATTAATAAATATTAACATTGCTAATAGCTCTATAAATAAATTGATAGTACTATCAATCAATAGATTAATAGTACTATTAATTCATTTATAGAGCTATTGGCAATACTAATATTTATTAATGCTAATATAATACTAATTTTTATTCTATAAGTATCTGATTCTTGCCAAATTTTAACTAAAATTAGACTAATATTAGAACTAAAAAATGTTGATATAGCACTAATATTTTTTTATTTGACCTATAAAATTGTCTTTATATTCACTACTTCTTTTACTATTCTAGTTTTAATTATTTTTAAGTTATTTTTCTAATTAAATCTACTTTTTAAATTCAAATTAAACTTATTTAAATAGTATATTAATTATTCTTTCAAGTAAGTATTTTATAAATTAAATATAAAATATTGATACTACTTATATTAAAAGATATAAAGATGTTAATATTGCACTAGTTTTAATGACTTAAATGTATAATTTTTTTATAACTATAATCTTCTATAATAATATTATTATATATAGTATTTGTATTTTATAATTAGAAAATTTTTTATTTTAAATTTATATTTGTATTTAAACTTTTTACAAAGTTTTGCATTTGATTAAAAATTTTAATAAGTTATAAAGTCAAAATTAACTTTAGTTTAACTTGAACTGTTAACTTTGTTTATATAAATTTTAGAAGTTTATCTGCTAAATTATAAAATTTAAATTATTTTATTTTATTTTATTTATTAAAAATTTTATATATTTTTAGATATATTACAAATTAAAAAAATAAATAAAAATTAATAAAAGTTAAATAATAAAAAAATTTGCTATTATTTTACTTTATATTTACCAAATAATAATAACATAATAGCAATATAATAGTAAAATAATAGTAAAATAATAAAAGGTTTGTTAATATTAGTAATGTAATAGTAATATATTAATAAAATAATTAAACATTTCTATTATTATTATATTACTAATATTGATAAACCTTCTGTTATTTTACTATTATGTTGCTAATATATTGCTATTATGCTGTTATTATTTGGCAATTTAAGTTAGAATAATGGCAGATTTTTTTTTATTATTTAACTTTTTATTAATCTTTATTTATTTTTATAAATAATTTATACTTAACAGAGAAATGGAGTCTCATAGCCTAGTGGTCTAGATATCCTTTTCTTCACAGACAAGATTAACAGTTCAATTTTAGCTAGAGGCAAAACTTTGTAATTTATGAAAGCATATGAATATATGCAAAGCCTTGTGGCTTAAGTCTATGTGAATAGAAGATCAGTATATAAAAAAGTTTTTAAAAAGAAGTTTTCTAATATAGAGAGTTGACATCTGATATAAGAAAAACAGTGAACATGCCAAAAATAAAGAGAAGGCACACTAGTAGGTAATATGGTAAACATAAAAAGAAACTATGAGAAAGAAATTAACTTACTGAAATTTGAATATCTCTGACATCAAAACTAGTTTAGTAAATACAGAATATACTAAATTGAATAAATCTAAAAATTAATCTTAGTATTATATTTAGTAAGTTTGTATCAAGAGTAAATTTGAAAAAATATAAATATTTAGTAATATCTAATAAGATGATACTTTGATATAAATAGTAACTAAGATAGCTCTAATCTAAATGTCACTACAACAGTAATGTAAGTATCGCAGATATATATACAAATAATATTGAATATTAGAAAGTTTAAGTAGGAGACTTACAGGCAGGTCTCGGGTATAGCATCTAGTAGGTAATCTGTAAACAGAACACTTAATTAGATAATAACTAAAGTTATATATATGACTAGTTGTACTTTCATTGATGTACTATGTATATTACATGTAATCATATATTACTTAATAATGATATGCAGGCAAGATTGCCACTTTAAATTAAAAAAAAAAATTTATACTTAAAGTAATTCAATTTTTTAAACAACTATAATTTTTATTTAAAAAGTTTTAAAAAGTTAGATTAGTAATTTTATAAAAATATATCAGTTTTATATATTTCTTAATCTGTAAATTGTAGCAGACAAATTTGC